GTCCTGTTAGGTATGACTCATATACCATATAAGGGCCAGATGCTAGAGCAGAACAAAGCTGGCCAGCAGAACGGTGCAGAGCGAGCTAGCGTAGCATAGCTCACGAGCAGAGTGGAGCGAAAACATATGTTTAATCGGGGGAGTCACGTTATGTAGGTCGGTGCAGGGGTATTTTTGTAATTACATATTGTACATAAGAGCTATATATTTATGTGTATTGTAACCCTAAGGGGTATTTTGTACTCTCTTCTGAAATTGAAAGAAAGTCGCCGCTCTGCTCCCGATGATGTATGCATCATTGTCGGACCTCGTTAAATCTTTATGTTTCTTTCTGGATTTGTGTCGATTCTTGCATTTATTTGCTCTAAATTTCTCAACAAGTCCTCTATAAAACTTTCTGATTTCATTGTGAATTTTTAGTGGTGTGGCCTTCGAGATTTTTTCCCATTCTAAGGTTTTTTCATGTAAAATTCTCGTGTGTTTTTCTGGCTGGTTTGATTGTGTTTTTGTTCATTATTTTGTTCTGATTTTCTCAAATCTTACGTGATTTTATTTTGCATAGTGTGGCTTAGTTTTTAATTGATTCCAAGTCCCAGTAAAGTTTGGAATTGTTCTTGGTATTTCTATCAAAGAAACATACCATAGTTATGAGATGTATTCAGGTTGATCTTAATAGTATTATATTTCTTTTAAAAGATGATATTAATAAACTCACTTTTTTTACTACATGGTTTTCTTGAATCTTACGTGATTTTATTTTGCATAGTGTGATTTAGTTTTTTATTTGATTTCAAGTCCCAATAAAGTTTGGAATTGTTCTTGGTGTTTCTATCAAAGAAACATACCATAGTTATGAAATGTATTCAAGCTGATCTTAATAATATTATGTTTCTTTTAATAGATGATATTAATAAACTCACTTTTTTTACTACATGAAAGTTTTTATTATGGTATTGATCTCTTGCTAGAAATCATTAAGAAAACAAAAAGTAATGATGTCTAAATAAGAATATTTTAACATCTAGCATGAATCACAATTCATATTTTAGTAATGAATGTTCCAAATTTAATTTATTATGGCTCCGAATTTAACAAGCTTATAATCAAACTGCCCATTTCAACAAAATGAACTTATCAAAATTGGTTCAATTTGGGTCCAATTAGACCCATATCATGCCTTTGAAGCACAACTAAATTATTTGGATCATCAATTTAATGGTCAATGAAATCCAAATTTGATATATTTATAGTTGAATCGAGCGCTTCAACTAGAGAAATGCTCGATTCAACTAGAGAAATCCATTGAGTCCAAGATCGTTGAATTCGTAGGTCTTTAAGACACTAA